CCTATCCACTATTCTCGCGTTAGTCAGATCAGCTGTATGACCACTGGCTAGCACATGTTGGGCTAAAGCAGTGCTGTTTTTATTCTTCCTAATGTCGGCTTCATGGCACAACGAAACGACTACTGGGAGTTCGCCTAGCTGAACATGAAGCCGACATTAGGAAGAATAAAAACAGCACTGCTTTAGCCCAACATGTGCTAGCCAGTGGTCATACAGCTGATCTGACTAACGCCAGAATAGTGGATAGGAAAAAAAGAGAAAAAACAAGATACACACTAGAGAGTTTAAGAATTTTGCAAAAAAGAAATGTAACAATAAACAAAAAAGAAGACACTGACGACATCGCGGCTGCATACTTATTATGTTTATAGCCATTTTTTACAATTTGGTTGTCAAACACACTACAGCTGATCGTTTGACACATTTGCCAGAATTTACCAGAAAAAAATTCTCGGACTAAAACTGGTAACTTCTGACAGAGAGAGAACCGTATTTACTCTTTTTTTGTCCTCTCAATAGTCAGAGAACCGAGTACGGGATCGATTTCCAGTAAAATCTGACTGATTCTGACTATTTCTGACTAGTGCGGACTCGTACGGGATCGCAACTATTATATTTTCTTTGTGACTTGCACATTTTTGCCTGAATTCGCCAACTACAACAACACTGCACTTTTTCCGGCCTTATAACCAAACTTTCCACTGCACATAACCTTGCGTAGTATAAAGGTCACTTTTGTAATTGAACGAACGAAAGTCAAAAAAATCACTCGCGCTTTTTGTTTAAATTCAATATACAGGGAGCCTATTGTAAAAAAACAATAATAATAATAATTGCGGTGCACGTTTATACATTGTTTAATCGCTACACATACGCACATATGTACACACATCTAGTTAGCGAATATAAATACATATAAACATATCTTACCGTTGGTTGGCGAGCAATATTCTTGTCTATTCTTGTTAAATAAATAAAAAATGCCATTGTTTTATACATTGTTGAGAAAAATCAATCATTTTCAATTTCTAATTTGTGGTTTGATGGGAAGTTCTGCTTTATCATAGCACTAATAAATTGGGTCATAATAACAGAGGTTTCGCGTTGTGACATACTCACGATTGAGAGAAATAGAGATTGCGCCAATCGCGGTACCGCTAATCCGCTCTTTGTGATTTTGACAGAATCAGCTGTGTGCGTGACGTCATCTTGGTGCAATTGTTGAGTGTGAGCATACAAAAAAACCAATTAATAATTTTAAAATTTGTGCGTTAATATATCTGCGGNTCAATCATTTTCAATTTCTAATTTGTGGTTTGATGGGAAGTTCTGCTTTATCATAGCACTAATAAATTGGGTCATAATAACAGAGGTTTCGCGTTGTGACATACATCCATACTCACGATTGAGAGAGACATTACAAAGCAAAATGAAGTGTGCCGTGGCAAAGTGTAATAGTGAAAACAAAAGGAAAGCGTGCGATATAAGCTCATTTTCGTTTCCTATGGACGCAAATCTGGCGAAAAAGTGGAAGTAGTTGTGCCAGCGAGGAATACATTAAACACCAAATCGACNCGTGGCAAAGTGTAATAGTGAAAACAAAAGGAAAGCGTGCGATATAAGCTCATTTTCGTTTCCTATGGACGCAAATCTGGCGAAAAAGTGGAAGTAGTTGCGCCAAATCGAGCTTTGTGTTATGTGTGTGAGCTATGAGCTTCTACATGGAACTATGTTGGCCTTTCCTTGGTGAATTGTAGTAGGTATATTTCCATCGTGAATGTAGACAGTTGCTGGTTTAGTTTTCTGGTAACGGCTTACATATAAAAGCAGTTTCTACAGTAAATAGATACATGAACTTCACTACCTATTTATTTTTGTTAGTACCTGATTCTTTTTAGTGCTGGTATGAGGTAATGCACCAGTGGATAAGGTCGCCAGGCGCTAATACCAGCGGAATCTTACCGCGCTGTTACGTATCTAATACAAAACAGTGCCCAAATTATTATACATTTTAAAGTTCCGCTTAAATTATGTTTTAATTAAATAGAATATTTGTTTCCGAAGAAGCCACACTCATTCATCCTCTCGGGAATGGTACAAAAATCATCAAATAAAAGCTGTGGAGTCAACAGCGGTGGAGTTTATGGTGGTTGGCTACCGTCCACAAATATAAATATGCACTCTGCATGGCTTTTTACAATGTCGAGTCCAAAAATTCGCTTTGCTGCACACCTTCCTTTTGGTCTACATGAAATTGCAAATACTGTTAACACATCCAGTTTTTCATGTGCTAAAAATCGTACTTACCTAAAGGGGCACATGTCCAAAATTATTGCTACGTGTTCCTAATTAATCAATCTTTGTATATTTAATGATTCCTACAAAATTGGACCATGTAATATTAAAATTATCACATATTTCTGCATTATTTACATATTTTTATATGCGATTTGGCATTTCTCTCTCGAAATTGCACCAAGATGACGTCACGCAAAAATTACGCTCAAAAATCCTCTCTCATTGGCGCAATCTTGTATTCTATCATTCTTGATCCATACTTATATTAATATTTCTTATCGGCATTCGTTGAGCTGTTTACCGGTGATATACTTCTGAAAGTTTTTGTGAGGTGGTAATTACGCAGATAAAAATAAAATCAAAATGGAAACATACATCCGCTTAGCCGATTCGGTCATTGAATTTGACGTAGATTTTCTAGGCACCCCCATAAGCGAGCATACCAAACATTCGCTGAGAATCCAGCAAAGCGAGCTTAGCGTCATGTGGGAGAAAGCCAAAGTTTTA